TTTTCAATTGACGGCCAACATCATGCAAATTCACATCGCTACTCGATATATTCAAGCATAAAAGCTGAAAATTTGCATATATTATATAATTGAATGCAGGCTTTGTAAGATAATGTACAGTACTGTAAGAAGTACCGTACGTTATATTAAAAACTATAAATACTGTGTCTCTAATCGAAAGTACTGTACATTTCAACAACATAGCAGAGAGGGAAAATGTAAAAATTCTTCAGAGAGAGAAAAATGCGTTTTTCGAGATGTTTTCATGTTAAATTTAAATTTCTGTCGTAAATTTTAAATGTTGTTATTTTCGCGCGACGTCGCATTCCAATTGACGTCGCCGCCATTTGGAGGTAGTCAATGGGAGCGCCGGGTCGTCGTTTCTTTTTCGTTTTCATTTATTTATTTGTTTGTTTTTATTTGTTCATTCATACAATCATTTGTTTTTGTCGAAGGTAGTCAATGGGAGCGCCGAGTCGTCGGAGGTAGTCAATGGGAGCGCCGAGTCGTCGGAGGTAGTCAATGGGAGCGCCGGGTCGTCGGAGGTAGTCAATGGGAGCGCCGGGTCGTCGGAGGTAGTCAATGGGAGCGCCGAGTCGTCGGAGGTAGTCAATGGGAGCGCCGAGTCGTCGGAGGTAGTCAATGCGAGCGCCGGGTCGTCGGAGGTAGTCAATGGGAGCGCCGGGTCGTCGGAGGTAGTCAATGGGAGCGCCGGGTCGTCGTTTCTTTTCGTTTTCATTTGTTCATTTGTTTGTTTTCATTTATTCATTCATTCAATCATTTGTTTTTGTCAAATTAATTGAAAGTATTGTTTTACGCGATAAATTTTGTTTTGAAATGAGAAAGCAATCTATTTCCGATCAAGAGCCGAGTCAATCAAGAGAAACCGGAACTTTTCGTAGCCGGTCCTCAATGAAGGCCAAAACTAACTGTAAGATGGTTTAGGGAGTTGAATAGAAACAATGAAAGGCTCATCTTCTGGACCGTTTCAAAAATACTTAGGCCCAGTTGTTCATGCTAAACTCAAAACTTTTTTCTAATGAACCATCAAAGCACTCCCCAGAGAATCAAATTGTTTATTTGAGGAACAGGGGAATTCCCAAAGGACCCCCTTGATTAGTATTCAATGAAAGAAAAGAGACCAAAGCGAATCGGCACCCTTTTTATGGTAAAATCTCTTCAAGATGTCCCCAGAGTATTTCTCTATTCATTCACTTCTTCTCACATCCAATTTATTCTACAGATTGTCTTTGATGTGATCTGACAGATTTCATATTGTAGAGAATTCTTTGATCGACTCCCTCTTTCGATAAGTAAACAATTAGTATGCAAATTGGGCTTTATTGCAAAGTTTAAAGATTGAGTTTTAAATTGAAATTTGGTTTTTTTTTCTTCTAGTTTTTTTTGAACCCCATAAAAAGGGCGCCCTGGGAAAGTGGCAGAAAAAATGGAGTGGCCAAGCGTTTGTCTTTTAAACTATCGGTAGGTGTGGATTGGGTATGTGAATCATGATGAATCATATTATCATCAAAAGACAAAACCCGAAAGGAAAATGTTATGGAAGATGAGAATTTAGACAGAAAAAGTATCCCTGGTTTTAATCCCCCAAACCCTCAAGCCGCCAGTTATTCGATGTTAGCACTGTTTTTACAAAGTTCATGCTTGGGTTTATCAACTTTGCTTGATGTTAAACCAATAACCTAAAGTTCGTTCACCCGCCAGGCGTTTTTAGAGTACAAGTAGCATAAGTTTGACATCGATGAACTGTTCTATCTTGCTCAAACGCTAGATTAGTCAAACAAGATCAGTTTTCTGAAATACTTGGCTCACTTTTTGGGCCAGATCAACAAAAAACAAAAGAAATCCTAAAAACATTTCTAGAGCATTTGTAGATGTAAATGTAAATAAAAGAAGTAAGGCAACTGGGCTGGGATCGATCAAAAAGTCACAGTGAAGTTGAGAGTCTGGGTGTTTTCGTAGAAAATTGCTGATGGTATATAGAATTGTCTTCCTAGAAAGTTCTTTGTTATTTTGCAATAAGTAAAAAAAAATAGTAAATTGGGGTTACGTGGGTTGGGAAGGTCGATTCAGAAAAAGATTTCCCTTTTGAAAGACCTCCATATTGCGCTCTCTTTCTTTTCCGGGGGTCCAAAACGCGCAATTCAGACCCAATTACGGACACCCTTTTCACTTGTTGAAGAGTTGAGGTTTGTGAGGAAAAAGAAAGAAAATATTGTGAACAATTCAAGAATTTTAAGCCAAGAATTTAAAGCTTTGATTGATGGTGAGGGAAATCCTTCAAAACTGGTTCTTTTCTTGCCGCTTTTGCCGTAAACCCGTCATTTTGATGCAAAAGTTTTTTATCCATAAATCTCGCTTTATTCGGAGGGAAATAAAGAAATGAATTGTGAAGAAGAAGAAGCAAATAAAGAAAGAATAGTCGATTGATCTTAAATTGTTTTCGATCCTTGAGCTTTGAGAGCCTTGAGAGCCTTGAGGAAAGCCTTGAGATTTAGTGATACTTCAAATTAGCTAAAAATGAGGCATGGCAATTTGTTAAGCAAATATTTTAATACTGACAATGAGACTAGATAATTCCGAACACTACCAGTGAGAGAACAAATTGTGAACAAAACCGAGAAATGGAAAAGGGTTGTGTGTAAATTCTCGATGATCGGTAGGGGAAAGGAAAGGAGAAAATGAGAGGGGAATAGGTTCAATGAAAGAAAGAAAGAAAGAAAGAGAGAAAGAAAGAAAGAAAGAAAGGAGTATTCACTCTCTCTCGTTCATTCCCTTGTCATTAGCATAACCGGCCGTTCTCGCTTTTTATTCGCTCTAGTCGGAAATCGAAGCGCCTCTCTTTAATGTCCAATGATCTGACCGGTTGCCGATGTGATCCTTTTCATCGGCATTGTAAACAACATTGTTCCCACAAAGCCATCATTATATGCTTCGCTTGTAATAATGCGTGGCTGCAAGGCTAAAGGACTTTAGGCTGTAGGCTCAGGATTACTAAGTAACCAGTTACAGTAATCAGTAGCTAATTTTAGAACAGTCAGCCATCGGCAAAAGAATTAAATGCAAATTCAGAGGAATAGCTGGTGGAATAGTGGATGAATAGATGAAAAGCTTAAAAGATATAAAAGTTACAAGGCTAAACTTCTTTTCAAGTCAAACACTCGAACTTTTATGAAACATAAGTGTCAGACTAATTTTTAGGACTCTATATAGCCGGTCACTTCAAGAAAGCGATAACAAACAAGATTATAAGAAAGAATAGAAGAAAAGAATTAAACAGATTGTCGGTACAATGAATAGAAAGAGAAACGGAGGGTTCTGTGCACATATCACCAGCTGGATCTTGAGGGAGAGTCCCTCCTTGTTCGTTACTCTTCAAAGACATGCACCAATCCCGGGAACCCCATAGATTCACCCCAGAACATCTCCTCTCTCTTTTACCAAATGAAACAAAGAATCCCTCTTTGCCATCTTGACTACACATGCAAATTTATTGGACGTACTCGATTGCACACATTTCTTTCGCATTCAATTCACCCGACTCTATCATTCAATTGTCCTTCTGTCATTACTCTTTTCCGTGCATACATTAGAAAAATGAGAAGATATGAAGATAGGAAATGAACCGAGAAAATAAGGGATACTTTTTAAGTTGTTAAGATTTGTGAAAATGGTACTTTAAAATTGTATCATTCAAAGCATTGGTAACAATTAAAAGACGATTTTTCCTATTATGAAGAGGCTAATTTGCATTCAACTTTCACTTGCATTTAAATTTTGGGCAAACTAGAAAAGCTAAATGTTTAGCGACTGCCACTGGTTGAGTGGCAGCCGCTCATCAAACATCAAAGTTGCCAGAAAGCAGCTCAAGAAAATTTCAATCTAACTTGAAATTCTGGTGAGTGAAATGCGTAACCCATTTTCCCGAAATGTGGAAAAGTGATTGAATGGATAGGGTTCATGGCGTGCATAACATTGAGGCAATGATACATGCGTGTGGACAATGGGTGAAAGGGGGATTGGTTGAAAAGAAAATGGGTGAAAGGGGAAGAGAAGGGATGGTCAGAGAATCCCTTTCCACACTAGGTGGAATGGTGTGTCACAGAGAGAAGGGGGAAGAAGAAGAAGAAGAAGAAGAATACCCCAACAAATGTATGTGTCTAGAGGGAACAAGCACCCCGTGAAATCCATTCTCTCTAATGGGCTCTCGCCAATGTTGGTTGCACACCTCATGTGCGGCGTGAAATGGAACTCCTAGCCCCAGTCTACAATCAACTAACCACCAAAGTCACTTTAGCCGATCAAATAATAAACTTTCCTCCTCAAGCAATACTAATAAGTTGGCGTTTGTTCCCTATTTTGACCACAATTTAGATTAAGCACAAAAATTTGCATATGAAATGTGATCGAAATATGGACCCGTCCCTATTTTTATCCAAGAGTTGATAAATCCGAAAAGTGGTGTCCAGAGGAGTCATGACTAATTACAGAGTTATGAATTTGCTTTGTTCGCCATAATAGTGCAAATAGTGCACTCGACCTCTCGCCGCATGGTAACCAGATGGACATGTTATTTTTCTGAAAAGTTTGTAAAGAAAAAAAGAACCGAGGCAAAATGCATAAAAAACTTCCAGCATTGCTTATTTTTACTAGTCTAGCGCCACTTTCGTGGTGCGGCTCGAAGAAAAAAAGAGAAAAGGAGAAGAGAGGTGAAAGCCAGCCGCTCAGTGTAAGGAGATCGATCTGAGTGCCGAGAAGTCCCTAAGTCCGGTTTCCCTGTCCTGATCTTTACATGACGCTATTATGTGTATAAATTGTTGCAAGCTAATTAAATTTATTTGAAACATTTCCTTTGAACAAGAACATTTAAGAAGAGCAACATAATTAATGTGTATAAGCATGAAAAAAATTATAGTAAAATCGGTTATAAAGTCAAACTTCGAGACCATAAAGTGAGGGTTATCCATTGGGTTAATTCGTTAATTCGCCAAATCCTTTGCTTCGGGGAATCGATCAAAGTAGCGATTTTCTCGAACGTACTTGACGTTTAGAAGACGGCCTTAAATTAAGAATAAAATACAAATAGATAGTAATTTATCCCACCGTTGTACCACTCGCCGTGAAGCGCCATGAAAGCATTATGAGCATCTTGAGGCCTGCGGAACATGGCGAAGACCAACTTTTCGTCTGTGCTTGGCTCCTCACAATACTAAAATAAGTTAAAAGAAGATAAAGAAAATTTACTTACAGCAACATGCACAGGAATCACGGGGTGAACCTTGCTGCGAAAATCCTGTTCAGCCTTTACACGATCAGATCTAAAATGTCGATAATCTATTTTCCAGTTTAAATAACAAACCCATCGCTAGCGACAAGATCTCGAATTTTCAGAAACTTCGTCAGTGCCTCCTTTGGAATGTTGGGCGAAAGTGGAACGGTAGGGTTCCCGAAAGCTAGAATAACAAGGATTTAAATATTAAAAATACGCTTTACCTTTTCCTTGCCACCCGCTTTTTCTGGCTTCAAGCCATTTCCAAACAGCACATTCATGTCCACGAATTAGACGAGTTTCTGTGGCGATGCGAGACTCATTTTCGTTGATATATTCAACGGCACGTTCCCAACGAGCGAGCTCAGTAGTGCGGCTAAACATAACAAGACTTTTAACCAAACACTTAATTCAAACCGTTTAGCGGGGGGAAAGATGAGATCACGAACATGTGGAACGCTGATGTATTCCTCACCATCTGCCGCAGAATCACGAACCATATCTGAATCAAAGATTTAAAGTTGTAAAAAACAATTTGAACAAAGCCCCGAGCTTCCTGGTTATAATCTGAAACATCTCATCTCTCCGATGAAATCGAGTAATAGAAAAGCTCGAAATATTCCATGAAACCACATTTTAACATAACTTCTGCATATCAAGTTTACCTGTAATTTGCTCAACCAACTCGAATACAGCGTTTTCTTCTACGTCCTTTGCCAGACGCCATCGTTTGAAAGCAAAGTAGACAATCAGCACCACAGCAGCCGCTACAGCCAGAAGAGCTGTTGGTAGAATCAAGTAGTTGTAGAAGAATGTGACCGAATCGCGGAATGTGCCTTAAAAGATATTAGAATATTCCATCAGCATTGAGCCTTACCAGATACAACTTGAGCTGCAGAGTGAATTGTTCCAGGCTGCGAAGTAGCAATGTAACCAACGGCCAGTATCACGAAAAAGATTGTGAAGATAATAATGAGCAAGCGAGGCACTTCATCCCACCAAGTAATCTAAAATTTTAGTATGAGCCATTCAAGTTTTTAAACATTCCAAACTTCTTATTTTACAAAGAATTAAAACAAACGATGTTTTCTTGATGTTGAAGACGAACTCGACCAGTACGAGGATCTTTTTCTACACGTGTGTGCTGGCCACCAACTTTCATATCGTAATAAGTAGCAGGAGCACCCAACTTAAACTAAAAAAATAATGACGAGACAAAGATCTTAACATTCGTACCTCATCAGCTGGTGTACGAGTCGTAAAATGTTTCCATAGTCTAGAAAGTGGCGACGTCTTTTTGTCATATGGCTTTGAAGTAGAAGAGGAGCGATAAATAACACGCGTAGACTCTTGTCCATAGGTGTCGTCTTCATCTGTCGTATGTCCCAGATTCAACAGGCCACGCTCTAAAGTTGAAAGAATTGAAAGAAAGAAGAAAAGAATCCAAAACGGATAAATTCGCACTTACCGCCACCAATCTTCTTATAAGCTGTTCCAGTAGAAGTGAGATTTGGTGCAAAGTAAGATGAACCAGTAGCAGTCTAAATCCAGCAATGCATGTAAAAAGGAAGCAACAATACTCTGCGAGTAGAACTCGGTCCAGTTCTTGGAGGTGTGGCTCCTGGTCGATCATAAGTATTACGCTTGGCCGATGCTGGTGGTGTATGATATCTGGTCACAAATGAATCATTGTTCGTTCCGTAGATATTGCTGCTTGATTCGCTTTTCTCATCTTCATAATTGCGCCGGCTCTTTTCGCTGAAGCTCATCGACGTGTCTTTCTTCTAAAGAAAACAAAATAATAAAAACATTGAAAAAGTTTTTTACCGAAGGAGCACTTTTGACTCCTAAACCCGGAATGATTGAACGATTTGCTGATTGACTGTTCTGAGCCGCTCTCTTTGCATCAGCCTTTGCTGTAGCTGCTTTTGGAGACGAAGTAAGTGGGCTACGCTAAAATATACTCATTTTTCTCACATAACTGAAAAAACACTTACCGATTGAGTAACAACTGGCTGATTTTCAGGATCGCTATCAGCACTCTCATCAGAATCCATCGAATTGATGCGTGAAGTGGTGTTGCGTCGTGGTGACTAAAATAAAAATAAACCAAAAACAATCATTAATTACCTTGTTAATTGGAGCTTGTTTAGGTGTCGCTGGCTTCTTGGGAGGTGCTTTAGCGGTTGGAGGTGCTTTAGCGGTTGGAGGTGCTTTGGCGGTTGGTGTTGCTGCGACGATTGGCTTGGCCCCTTCCTTCCGAAGTTTGGCCAGTTTCTTCTCGTAAAGGGTGCGAGTTGTGCCCGTGATTGGTCCAAGTTTGGCGCCCAAAGCGAGAAGTTCATCTCTGAGCGCGTTGTCGGACATTGTTGTGACATCCATTTCTAAAAAAACTATTATTATTATAACGTTACGATGTTTGTAAAAGCAAAGAAAAAATAAAATACAATCATAAAAGGCTCGGCTAACGTTTAAAGGCTCTCAATTGCGAGTGACTCTGTGGGGATTTTTGATACGATTTAGCACAAAGTTTTTGTCTATAAATCTCTAACGTATAGTGAACAAAAAATAACAACAAGATTTGGCGTAAGAGTGCAAAGTTGGCAATGCGTTGAATGTGGCGTAAAAAAGTTTAAATTCGACAAAACCGAAAATAACGCACTTTTAGGGAAAGCCAAATAAGGATACGGTTGTGATATAAGTTTAGAATGTAACTTCAAGATTAGTTGAGCCAGAAAATAGCTTGTGTAGAGGTATACGAATAAAGGGATTACAAAATCTCGTGTTGTTAAAGTAGAAATTCGAAAGCGCTTCAGTTAAAAAGCGCAATAGCGGCAAAATTCGTTCCGTGTAGCGGTGTGTTGTCGATGCAGAAGAAGTGAAAGAGAGAAATGGCATTGCTGTGCAAAAGATGCATTCCATGTCTACTTGTCTTGTTTGTGCGTATTCAAAAAATTAAAGTTTAAAAATTTATCCGAGTTACCCGTTGAAGAAAAGGACAAGCTTCAGATTGGTGCAATATTTGAAATGATGATAAAGAACGCACCATTGAGCAGAGAAAATATGGAAGATAAGTCAAGGTGATAAAATATAAGAATGGCAGATAGCACAAGATTTCAGGAGATTTGAAAAAGAGAATTTCAATTATGCAACAATGATAAAAGTGACAAGTAGAGAGGCAAAAACCCAGTAAGTAAAAGGAATGTAAGAGTTGAAAAAAACAGTGATGGAAGGAGATATCAAGCTGTTTGTATTGTGCTATTGTACAGCTCGTGGAGAACCTGAAATCAGATTTTTTATTTCTTTGAGGTTAGTACTGGAACTTACGTGATCAAATTTTGTGGATCGTTGCAACGGGAACGTGTTTCGCCGACAAAGATCATGATCTCGACGATCACCCCAACCACCATTCGCCTTTGATGGCTTCAACATTCGACGAGACACCTGCAAGCTTTTTGGATGACAATTGGAACAGTTTCTTTACTCAATACAAAACCAGTCTTGCTTGGCTTTGCGGCTTTGTACGTATCCCAGAAATTTACTTTGTCAGGTCGTAGTCATAGACAAGATTGTATTCCCTACAAACACAAACTTGACTCGCTTCGAAAAAAACAATATACAATATGTCTACAAACAATGTGTCTTTTAAAACGTGCCAGTTTAGAAAACTATCGTAATTTGTCTCTATTTCTTATGCAATCTATCTACTTTCAGTCTGTTTATGTGAGGGTTTATGAAGGACCAGCCGAAAAACCCACCGAGGCAAAAAAGGAGCGTGGCTTAACAGTTGTTTAACTTTTTAAAACAAAGTACACGAGTAAATTCTTTCATTTTTTGGGGGCAGCGTCAGCAGAACTTTATCTATCTAACAAAAAAAGCGCACTCTAAAATTCGATCTTGGTGCTGAGAAAAGTGCGTGTGACGGATAGACCAACAGATAGACAGACAGACAAAGATACAAAAGTCGATTGAGAGGAAAAAGCTCAATCCGTTGAATCAATTGTCAATTTAGTGACTTACATCGTTCACTCGCATAGTCGATGGAAAGAAGTCTTTCGAGTGCTTCGCCACATAATCATCGGCTATTTGAGCTCCATTCTTCGAGTTACATCTACCAAAATATTTTGCTTGAAATCAATTCCTTCTACTCACCTATGCGTATGCACTCCACAATCACCAATATGCAAAACCCTTGGCGCTTTTGTGTAGAGAACTCTCCACCGTGTCGGTAAACACTGAACACTTATTTGCAGCATCGACCAATCCCAATTGTAATCATCCCACGTACAAAATATCTAAACGATATTTTTTCTCTTGTATTTTTTTTGAGACTCACTTCACTACAATTTTTCATAACATCCCATAGTTTCTTCTGAATTGTCATCCCCATATTGTATTTGCTTGAATACCAAGGAGCAACACCTGCAAGTAATTACGGCTATGATTACCTTTGTTCTTAACTGATTTAAATGATTTTGATGTGATTCAATGGGAAAGTTCTCTCCCGCATCAAATGATACAAAAATTATTCAGATTTCACAAATCTACGAAAAGTTAATAGACATTTTCGGAAGCCAGTACATTGATTCTTCTACTAACCAAGAAGATCCGGTTGCAGAATTGTACTTTTGTAGTTTTTCACATAAATTCCGAGGCAAAGAATATCACATTGTGGACACAAGCTGAATATTGAATATTTTACATTGATTTTCCTATATTACTTTTCTTTTTGACCGGACATATACTCAAGAACGTGAAGAAAATCGGGAGTAACCTTAAAAAAAGTATAAATTAAATATAAAACTATAAAAACTATAAAAACTATAAATTTAAAAATGATAAACAAACATAGTGATCCTCTTCCAATAGGACAACCCATTTATCTGTGAGTTTATGAGGTACAACGACACGATCGAAAACGTAATTCATCTGAAATTTGTGATAATATTTAGAAACTTTTTATTTTATTTCACCTTCCACCACCAATGGTGCTTTATTTGAGTCAATTTTGCCACTCGATAATTCCCGTATTTGTCTGGAGTCTCCCAATTTCGACAACCCTTCTCCCGAGCACTAAATATACCATTTTTCTGATAATATTTAATAAGATCATTGTGGAATTTTATTTATTAATATTGATGTACTTTAATATTTATTAATATTTTACCGCTCTGATCTATGAACCGCTCTTATCTATGGAATTTTAGGGTAGATAAAAGTTAGCTCAAGACTGCTTTCGAACTATCGTAGTCTTTATTTTTAGCCAACTTTTCTCTGACTCTTTCTCTGATTCTTTCTCTAACTCTGTGAGAGTTGAAAAGGTACAAAAATCGATCAATTATATAAAAATAGGGACAATATGACGTAGTTTTGGGGGTGGGACAAATGCGACCTTTTTTTTGCGCACCTGGACATTTGCGCACCTTTTTTTTGCTGGAAAAGGCCTTAGGCAAGGCCGTAGAGCTTCGAAAATATTTCCAAAATCTTCCATATAAGGGAATCGTATGCGTAGATTCCGAATTTCGACAAATCAGACCTCGCTGACACGTCAAATTTGGGCTAAAGGGCAAAAAATTCGGAAAAGCGGTAAGTTGCGTAGTTTTTGCCTTTTAGTCCAAATTTGACGTGTCAGCGAAATCTGATTTGTCGAAATTCGGAATCTACGCATACGATTCCCTTCTATGAAAACTTTTTTGAAGCTCTACGACCTTTCCTAAGGCCTTTTCTAGCAAAAAAAAAGGTGCGCAAATGTCCAGGTGCGCAAAAAAAAGGTCGCATTTGTCCCACTCCCCGTAGTTTTTGAAAATTTACGCGTTTTAGATAACACTCACCCGTCTTTTTTAATTTTTTCTGGGCAATCGGCTGGATGTTGTCCTGGGAATACATGTGGAAATAGTTGAGTGTTGTAGGGATAAAAGATTTGAAGTACCTGAAACTAATTTCTTTTAAATTTTTTAGTTATTAACTTACTCTAGCGAAATCTATACTCTTAATTGCTTCATTGATCTCGGGAACAGCCAAATCATGCGAGAAAATGATCAATGTTTTCTCGATACCCGTCGCTTTTCGTAAAGTATCAATGAGGATTTTCAAGTAAGCAAGTCGATTATGAACCTGAATCGAATATGATTTTGAGTTTTCACACTTCATACTTGAATCACGATGATTGATTGAACGGCTTCTAAAGGACCAAATTTGTCGTTCAATATGGGAAAGTTCTCATTGAGGAAATCAACGGAATTCACGATTTCTCTGCCCGAAATATTCGCCTTTGAGGCAATATCTAAATGATTGAAAGATTATATTATCATAACTAGCATATTGTAGTACATGTATTGTCTTTCCATCAGCTTTCAAGAACTGCCGTAAACATATCAAGCCAAAAGCCAGGCCAGGCCAGCCTTGGTCTGGCTTTGCTGCCTGGCTTTGCTGCCTGGCTCCGTCAGAAATCAAGGCTTACAAGTCCTAGGCCTGGACAAGATTATGGTAGTTATTGAAGCAGACAAATTGAAAATTCTTTCAATTTTAGAAAACAAATTTGAAAGAAACACACTCTAATCTGAACTACCGTGTAATTTCCATGCTGAAAGACTTTCAACGCCATTCGTTTCTTGAAAGGAAATCCTCGAATTCAGATCATTGTCGATTTGATCCTAAATGCTTTTGTCTCTAATAACAAATATTCAGCTCACCTTCACCGAATTGTTCTTAAAATTCTTTATCGCTTTCACTGGTTCTTGAGCTATTCTAAAGTTAGCTTTGTATAAGCCATTTTTGCTCTAATACCGAAATAAAGTTGGATCAACTTGTGGCTGTGACCATTTCGTGGCACTATCAACATCGGTGCTTGGCTTCTTTAAGAAAATATAGAATATCCCCAACTAAAAAGCAATTGATTTGATCTTTTTGATTGATCTTTTTTCTTTCTTTTTAAACTCACAAATGAAGCGGCTATGACGAGGTTGAGGAGTCGAGCCACTCTTCGTTTATGCAGCATATCATGCTATCTATTTCAGCATTGGATTTGCGAGTGAACCTTCAGAGAAAAAATCTAAACCGGTTATTATATAACATTAATAGAAAATTAATAGAGCAATTGCTTAAAAGAAGAAAGATTCTTAAGAAGATCTAAGCTATATTATAACCAATTCTAAAACAAATAAACTCTAATGAACATTTGAATAGATAGATAAGAATCTTGGGATGTTTAAAGGAAGTAATCGAGGTCAGTGTTGATGGGAGTGAAACGGAACAAAACAAAGAGAAGAGAAAAGGGAACAAGAGAGACAATTGTGTGCCGTCAAATGTTAGAACAAGCCTCCCGCTTATCGACCCGAATCAAAGAAAAAAAAAAGTAAAGGAAAAAAAGGAAAAGCTATTGAATGGTTTAATAAAATTGAAAGTTTGAAGCAATTTGTGAATGAAAATAATGGAAGAAGCTTTGAAATGTTGGAGTCAGTTTGTTTATTCATTGGAAACCGGATACAGAAACAGAATGGAGTGAAAAAGAGGGGAAAGAAGGGAAAAGAAGAGGATGGCAGTTTGATCCTCTTCTTTCACTCCATCAACATCTATCTTTGATAAAGGCAATTTACGAGAAATGCATATGCAAATGATTGCCACTAGTTTATAATCTTGGGACACCACTTTATCCAGACATTTCTTTACTAACATTACTAACATTACTAAAAAAAGAAAATTTGCGATTTTCTAGCATTAGTCTGGCCAAAAATTGGTCAAGAAAATCTTTTTGAATTTCAATTTGCATCATTAGATATAGAATTTCTTTTAGCTGATCGTGAGATTCGTTTTAGCGCAAAAATCTCCATTTTTTAATAAATATCTGATATCTATAAAGTACTAGACCTATTTTAATATAATACTTTTTGTTTAGCAGGCTTTAAGCGGGGAAAAGGTTCATATTATTAGGATTGTTTTCGAAAATACAGCTAACTTTTTCGAGGCAATCCCAGAAAAACCTCTTAGTCATCAAATCTGAAATTATTAGGTTGATGCATAAGTCTTTTCGTTTTTTTCGTACTTCTGTTAAAAAGTAACAAATTCACCAATTAATCTATAGTTTGCTCTATAAAAAAAAGTGTTTTTTTGTTCAATTTGCATCTTTTTAAATGAATTTCGGTTCACTTTGAAGCAAATTCGAGAGTGAAAAACGCCTTTTTCGTAAAAATCTATAAAAAACTCTACGGAAAAATTGGCTGAATGAATTTCTCTGAAATTTTGGCGAAATATCAAACTTTTTTTTCTCTATCTTTTATCTATTGACACGAAGATAGGTTTTCTTTAGCTAAGGTGTCTAAACCGCATCATCGAGTTAGCCCTTTTTGACTACCCGACTTCATACTCTCAAGAAAATCCAGGCATAAAATATTTTTAAACCCGTTTTAATGTTATTTTGCAGAAAAATAATTGGTTTTTCTAATGAAATCAACCGTAGTTTAATTGGTGCATTTGTTGGCTTGAAACGGCAGACGAAAAGGAACAAAAACACTTATGCATCAACCTATTAGATTTGGCATTTGAATTTGTCTCAAATAATTATTGAAACGTATCTCAATCTCAAACGTATCTCAACGTATTGAAACGTATCTCAATCTCAAATAATTATTGAAACGTACGAAACTCATCCAATCATTTGCTTTTAAAACATTCAAATTTATATGGAGAAAGCTGTCATTTTGCTGAAATAGCTTTTTTCAAAAACTTTCCTTCAATACTTTCCTTCTAAAACATAGCTAACTTTTTCGGGGTAATGAGAGAAAAACCTTTCAGTTAACAAATCTGAAATTAGATTGGGGAAAGTATTTTTGAAAAAAGCTATTTCAGCGAAATGACAGTTTTCTCCATATAAATTTGAATGTTTTTAAATGTAATGATTGGATGAGTTTCAACAATTATATGCACGTTTCAACAATTATTTGAGTTTAACAAGAGTACACAAAAACAAAGTTTACAAAGAGTGCACAGAAACAAAACACTAACCAAAATAAGCAATTCAAATTCAAATGCCCAATCGAATTTCAGATTTGATGACTAAGAGGTTTTTCTGGCATTACCCCGAAAAAGTTAGCTATATTTTAGAAAACAATTCTAATAATATGAACCTTTTCCCCGCTTCAAGCCTGCTAAACAAAAAGTATTATATTAAAATAGGTCTAGTACTTAGGTCTAGTACTTAGGTCTAGTACTAACAATATTTGAGTTTAAACTCGTTTACAAAGAGTACACAAAAACAAAACACTAACAAAACACCAAAATAAGCGATTCAAATTCAAATGTAAACTTTAACGCGAAATAAACAACTAGATATGAGTAATGTTTTAAAAATAAATACCATTTGATACATGAAAAACACAATTTGTGCGTTGAAGTGATCAACGAAAGGCCAAGCTCGGAAATCTCCCCTTTCCCCTCCTCGTCACTCACTCAAATCGTTCAAAATGAGGCGATCGATCGTAAATAAACATTAGAGTTATTTTTCTTTTACTCAAATACATGTTAAGTAGTGAATTTCAATGACATTTAAGGGAAAAGCAAATATGTACACAGGATTCGAATGAGTGTTTGATCGAAGAGAATGAGTGTTTGATAAAAAGGAAAGATATTGACACAAACGGAAAGAAATGGCATCAATATTGTAGGGAGGTGGGAAGAGAAGAGAAAAATAGAAATGATGAAAAAGACAAAAGAACACTTTGTCTTTCATTTTTTTTGTCTTTTCTTTGCCATTTCTTTAGGGAAAAAGTGGCTCACCTTGAAAAGGGTTTTCGAATGTAAATGCGCCATTATGCTATGATGCCATTATGCCATTATGCTATGATCCCATTATGCCATTATGCCATTATGCTATGAACGTGGGCGAGAAAATGAAACTTTTATAACACCTATAACAGCTTGAACTTTGAACTTTGCAAATAATGGAAAAGATGGATGGAAAAGATGCAATTTAGAAAACAAAAGCATTGCTTAGTACGGTATGTTTTTTTTAAAACTACCATAATCTTACCTCTATTTTTTATCTATAAATACTCTAATAGAACGCCCACCTCTCGTATAGTTCTCTGTCTAACTTCTTTTTAGAAAAACATTTCTTCTCAGCTTCAATATTTTCCCAATTACTTTTTGGAACTAAAAATACTAGATTTCAAGGGCTATCATTTGACACCCAAGCGCACACTGTAGCACAAAGCAGCGCGGAGGATGGGACGTTCAAAGTTAGGCTATGCGACCGTACGCCTGTCATTATGGGGATGGCGTTCTATTAAAGTAGCAGTCCGAAAAAACGCCTAACGGCGGGTTTTGGCTGAATATTTTAAGCTTGTCCTCTGCGTCGCCATGGCGCAGTCAGGAGCCCGATTCTCTACCAGCCACACGAGCCGAGTTCGACCCTCCGAATTCCCACTTAGTTTTGAGTTTTTAAATTTTTATTTTAAATGACACAACTACAATATATTCTAAGGTATGTATTGGTCTACAAGTAAGCATGTATATGTCGTAGCCGATTATGAATGAGCGGGTCCGGACGCGTCCAACCATCAAGTATTTGGTATCATTCAACGCAGAATCATTAATAATTATGTTAAATTTTTAAAATTAGAAAAATTTGATAAAAAGAAAAAAATTATGGGGCCTCAAAGTTTCCTCTTGAACAAACAGTTTTTTTTGCTCTAATTTTTTTTCTTTTTATCAAATCTTTCTAATTTTAAAAATTTAACATAATTATTAATGATTCTGCGTTAAATGATATCAAATACTTGATGGTTGGACGCTCCTAGACCCACTCATTCATAATCGGCTACGGGGGTCCCGCCGATTTTGAATGAAACGTTGTAGCGCCAGTAATTTTTAACCTAAACTCACAAATTTGGTACCAATCGACGCAGAATTTAATTCGCTACATGATGATATAATATTGTCCTCATACATTAAAGGGTTGCTCTACTAGAAAGATTTACCAAAAAAATTTCATTCATAATCGGCTACGACATATAGATCCGACAAGACCCGAGAATCATCCAAAAATTTGCATTGAACCCAAGCTAAAGAAGCTAAAGAAGCCAAAGTTACAGTTAAATCAAAAATTAAACGCAAATTATGTACTCAAATTGAAGTTTTCCCAAAGGGAGATGTCCGTTAAATACAAATGAATTGAAAACAACAAAAAAACAAAACGAAACTTTGTGTGTGAAAAATTCATTGTAATCTTCAAGCGTTCAACTTTCTAAAATATATTATGAGTGAAATGAAGAGCCTCTCATTTCCCCACCCTTTTCCCTCGAAAGACTTTGGCCATCTCTGTATGAGAGTATCTCCTGAGCTCTCTTCCTCCTTTCCTACTTTCCCCCGGCTTCTCCCTTTTCCTAAAAAGTAATTAGGACAAGCAATTTGTGAGGTCTCTATGAGAAGCAGAAAACTCAGCAAAACATTCATATGAGCAACTTTACAATGGTAATCTGTCAACAAATTCGAAGTTTTTCAATGTTCTCTCCGAATTCTCGAAGCACTTTATCAAATCATAGATTGAAAAAAAGGAGAAAATTAAAAATATTGAGGTGAAAATGGGGAAATTTCGGTCGCCTGGAGACGTGTTCGATTGCTCACACAAGGTCTTTTTTAGCGTTTTTTTTTCCGGAAGAAAAAGAGGGTTTCCTGGTTTCTTTTTTGAAAAGAAAAAACGACTAGAATAAAGGTTTCAAGTGAGAAATTTGATCATTCAGAAAAGATGAAAATATAAAATTTAGAATTGAAGATGCAAAAGGTGAAAAACCTTAGTCAATACAATAATGATTGGATGATGATTCATTGTGCCATTTGGAAAGATCGAGAAGGAATTCATTCGAGTTTCAGAAAGAGAAAGATTTGATCAAAATCATAAACGAATCTTATCGAATCTGTCAAAAATGGTAAATGAGCTTTTGAAATTGACGAAAAAAGAAAACTATTTAAGAGAAATCTAGCAAAATCAGATAGATTAAATGAAAATATTGGATTGGTGAATGAAAAGCCTGCTATTGTGATATGAAGTTTGAGCACTTTCTTCGAAAAGAAGACCCATTTGGTGTCAAGGAAAAGTTGTAGAGAATCAAAGATCAAGCTTATATCCTGCGTCACCCGTTTTAAAATTTCTTTTCTGCATAAAAGCTTTCAATCAAGTGCTATAGAGCTGGAAAATGACTCAAAAATACTGTTAGCTAATGCAGTATTTTTGAGTCATTTTCCAGCTCTATAGGACTTGATTGAAAGCTTTTATGCAGAAAAGAAATTTTAAAAAGGGCTGCTACGCAGGAATACGCGATGATACTCTTTACCCGGTCTTCTATTCGAAGAAATACGGTAGATTAAATGAAAATATAATAGCTTAAAGTACAAAGTAACGGTAGCTTGCAAAAATTCTCATGTTTTAGACGTTGAATTGATTGGTGTATAAAATAAAATGAACTTACATTATGGCAAAACACGACTACTCGATCAACAAAGTGCAAGTTCAAAAAAAAGTGTTTTCATTGCTTAATAATTGATTTTATTCAGTAATTTGTGTGCAGCTGTTCTATTTTCGGAGAGCATCTGTGGACACTCCCTTTTCGTTCTTTTTACGGGAAATGAGTAAGAAGTTTACACTAAATCGACCCCTTCCCCCTACCATTTTCTCTTTTCTTCTCAAATCTCTAAGGGTCATTTCACCAGATTTTGCCATTAAAATGAAACTCCAATTATTATTTTTATTCCTTTTTATTCATTTTGTTGCAAGTACAAATGATGAACCGTGGATTACCTATGAGCAATTGTACGAATCGGGAAGAATGGCCTATTCGAGAAAAGAATGGAGCGATTGTGTCGGATTTCTGAGAAGATCGGTTGAGGATTTCAAGTAGTTGTTAATTGTCTAAATTTGATTTAAAACTTCAATTCAGCTACTACAATGATGAGATCATGTGGTGTCGAGAAATGTGCGAGAAGAAATTCCCGTCAAATACAAATGCGATTGGGATGGCGTTCACGCATCTGACCGCACAACGAGCACTTTGTTTATTCAGGTAAAGGGAACTTATTTTCAATATTCTAATAGAAGAAGTCGGCTCTTCGATTTTTCAATGTTTCTCTGAAATTTTCAAGAGCTTAAAAATAGGTGTTTTTGTTGGATTTTCATCCGGTTTTTGACGCCATTAAGCTTTTTTTTAGTCTAAAACTATTATATAAACATTAAGCTATTATAGAAATATATATAAACGGGGGTGGGACAAATGTGACCTTTTTTTTTGCGCACCTGGACATTTGCGCACCTTTTTTTGCTGGAAAAGGCCTTAGGAAAGGTCGTAGAGCTTCGAAAATATTTCCATATAAGGGAATCGTATGCCTAGATTCCGAATTTCGACAAATCAGACCTCGCTGACACGTTAAATTTGGGCTGAAAGGCAAAAACTGCAGAAAAGCGTTAAGTTGCGTAGTTTTTGCCTTTTAGCCCAAATTTGACGTGTCAGCGAGGTCTGATTTGTCAAAATTCTGAATCTACGCATACGATTCCCTTAGATGAAAACGTTTTTGAAGCTCTACGACTTTTCCAGCAAAAAAAAGGGTGCGCAAATGTCCAGGTGCGCAAAAAAAAGGTCGCATTTGTCCCACTCCCATATAATGTTATATAAACTATTATATAACATTATCCTTTAGCCTTTGAAAGTATTTAAAAAGTTGAGAATTTTTCTAACCGAGAAGTTAACAAAACAAAACAAAATCCGAAAAAATGAAAAATTTCGTCTAAAGGGCTTTTCAATTAGAATAAATACGGTAATTATAAATAAAGATTTGTTTTTTTTAAATTAGAGAACATAAATCAGATTTTATAATTCTGAAACCTGATAGGGTTTTCATAGCGCAAAACCCAAGTAATCTTTCCAAACAAACTTTTAAAAACGACTTCTTCCTAGAGTAATCCTGATTCGATTACTTTTTAAGCTCTCAAGCAATTCCATCACTTAATAGTGGGAAATTTGCTAATCGATTGCTTATTGTTAATCGATTACGGTGAGAATATTGGTTTCTCTTGAAGTCGGCACCCAGATCCAGCAAAAACCCTCGATTCGATTAGACTAGTCAAAATATTTCCTTTTAAAAACGAAACTGGATGCGGATCAGGTTCAGCTCAATAGGATGGGTCATTACAGCTTTTCTGTTATCAATTTCATTTGCAATTTCTAGATGTAAACGCGATCGTCTTACAGAAGAGCGCCCGTCCACAAAGCGACATCTTTTATGGTACGAAATGGAGGAAAGAGAGCCATATCGATATTTATCGATATGTTATTGGAATGTAAGTTGATATTCAAAAAAAATATTCAAATAATAATGTAAATTGACATTCAAAAAGGCAATTCATTCTTCATTTAGCTGAAAGACCTCAAAAATGCCGTGAAAGCCGCGTACACGTATTTGGTGAGAAATCCGGAACATCAAGAAACCATTGAAAATTTACAGGTAATTGAAAAAAAAACGATTAATAAATAATGGAAATGAAAAATTTTTAGTTTTACATGAAACAAGAGGGATTTGAAGAAGAGATGCTCGATGATTTCCAGAGAAAAGAATATGAGGTAGTGCACATCCGTGCATTGTAGTGCACATTGTTTTCTATAGGATTTTTACGTTTGAATAACCATTTGAAGCAGAAAAATGTGCTGAATTCAATGGTGAAAGAGAATTATCAAAATCGGTCTTGTAGATTTTTTTAAAAATCGCATTTTATCAAAAAGAAATTGGTCATTTTACACAGAAACGGTCAAACTCTCCTGCATTGACCATTTGGCCCTCCACCACTCGATGATAACAAAAAACAAAACAAAAACACTATAATGTGCTTCTTTCAAATAAACCATTTTCTAAAAAGTGTCAAATTTTGAAAATTACCTTAATTCTGTCTCAAGTTTTGCCTGATTTTGTGAGGCTTCAAAAAGGATTCCAAAAGATAGGTTATATAAAAACTAGAGGCAAGATTACGGTATCCATCGCCAGGGTTAGGCCAGTAGGCAAGTCCTGCCTTGGCTTCTGGACTGGTTTAACCCTGGAGTAGCCATTGTGCAAGATCTAGGGCAAGATTACGGTAGCTTTCAATAGTTGCCATGTTTTGGAAAACCTAATAAATAGAAAATGTTCTAATGGTAATTTTCAGAAACAATTTAGAACCTATACATGAGCGGGGTGTCAGCCTATCATCAAAACGATTGGTGGAGTTGCATTGATCGATTGGAGAGATCATTCGAAAAGGTTAGTAAAAGAAAAAATTTCTTTTCGATCTATTTCTATTCGAAGAGGCATTCATTCTAATCCCTCTTTTTTAAAAAAAAACGCGCCTTTTCTTTTTTGGCATAATTCCCTATGAATTCCTTTCAGGTATTGCGAGAAGAGGAATTGTGTCGAATGGATTGTAAAGATAAAATTGATTGGAGTTCGGTCGAGGGGACACTCGAAATCGATATTATTCAAACAAGTTTGCTAGAAAAACAGGGAAATTTCGTACTATTGAAAAATGAGTGATTTTTGTTATCAGCGCTCAAAAATAACAAAGAGAAAATTAAGCTGCTAGCACAAGAAAATTTGGAAAGAGAAATGCGTGACTTTTCCTACTTTACTTGGACTTTGCATGCAAGTTTTATTGTACTTGAACAACCTTTGTCTCACCCTTAAACCAAAATGCTCTAATTATTGTGGTACTAGTACCACAATAGTTAGAGCACTTTGGTTTGTAGACTATAAACAAGTTAGAAGTGTTTATAGTCTACAAACGTAAACTACAAACACTTCTAACTTGTTTCAAATCTGCTGGATTGACATGATCCTTAGCTCAAAAAAACGAGAATCTCAAGAGCTTTCGAATGAACTAAAGTACACTCAAAAAGATCAATGCTAAAGAAAGTTATAGTGGTTTATAGTCTTGATTCGAAACAGACCGTATTCGCGCGTAGTCGAAGCGCTGTAACTTTCTTTAGCATTGATAATTCTTGGTGTAGCTAAGCAATCTAAAAAAAACAAATGATTTCCAGGCATGAAAGCATCGGTTCTCCGTTGTGAAAGTCAATGTTTCGAGAGATTATCCTGGGTTAACGGACACAAAGTTCGGAATATCATCGCTTCACATTTCGAGTACATTCACATTTGTCAATACAATTGTGAGCTATTCAATTCATATTTTTATAGACATTTTATAGTGATGCGTGGAACGGATGCGTGTACTTCTGTGGCAAATTATCTTCTTTTCGATGATTCTCCATTGATGAGAAGAAATCGTTTTGCCTATAATCGTCAATATAAAAAAGCCGACCTTTTCACACCGGATCCGGTTTGAAAATTCGAAATTTTCTGAATTCAAAATTTTAGAAGATTCTCGCATTGTACAAGAGATCGGTTTTGGAGAAACGGCTACTCGAATACATTGATAAAGAGTTTCGAGTATCGAAGGCGAGTCAGGTAAGGACACTCACAAGGGAAGGACACAAGGGAAGGACACAAGGGAAGGACACAAGGGAAGGACACAAGGGAAGGACACAAGGGAAGGTCACAAGGGAAGGTCACAAGGGAAGGTCACAAGGGAAGGTCACAAGGGAAGGACACAAGGGAAGGACACAAGGGCAGGACACAAGGGCAGGACACAAGGCCGAGGTTGCCATATATCAGAATTTAACGCTGATCCCGATGCCGCTATCCGTTTTTGCAAAATGATTCGGAAACGCGAGGAAAACAAGTTTGAGCGGTGAAACATCAAAATAAAATGAAAACAAAAGTAAGGGGTCGAACCCTAGCTTCTTAGCTGTTCTTGGAAGCCAGACTCTTATCCACTACGCCACAAGAACACTTGCTGAAGCGGTGACAGAAGCGTTATATTTCGGAAAAAAAGGAAGCTGGAAAATAAGTTTGAGGCCAAATTCGCGGTCAAAAATCAGTCCTCCTTTTATAGGGCTACCGCCTCGGAACGTGAGCTTGTGGCGTAGTGGTTAAAGGTCTTTTTTCCGAGACAAGCCATCAACTTCGTTCTCGGGTTCGATCCCTTTCTTTTTTAAATTTTGCCCTAAAAAAGATAGTTTTTTGAATTATCCCAATCAATAATAAATCTTTCAGTTGGCTCCGGAAAGTTCGAAAGATCGAGAGAAATGGAGTGAAGAGATCGACTCGACAGACTATTTCCCTTATGATAAAGTCGAGAGGTTGTTGACCGATGGAGAGTGTAAAGTAAGTTCAAAAAATATTACGGTAAATTCTCTATTAGAACGAGCTCTTGATAAAGTCTATATCTATTTGGAAAAAGTATACAAATTCTTTAAGATCTTAAAATCCTAAGTCTCAAAGCTCCAAATCTCCAAATCAGTTTTATACCTAGAATAGAACTGTGATTTTCGATTGAAAAATTAATCTTGACACCATTCTAATAAAAATTACGGTAGGTCATTTAGAAGTTAATGGTAACCTAAGCAAAAAAAGTGATTCTCTAATATTTAAATGCCATTCAGGTCCTTCGTGCCCCAATTCGAACGAAAATCACGGATCTTCTATTAGACGAACTATCGACCCGTGTCAAGACTGAACTCTCCATTAACCTTTCCCCACCCTCTTCATCATTTCCATCTTCTCCTCATGTATCTTGTTCTCAAACTCCTCTCGAAGCTCACTGTGATCGATCTCTTGTATTATCCATTGATGAGAATGCTTGTTCGATGTGGCTCCCATCATTTCATCAAGGGTGTTCCATTGTATTCTGTGTTGAGTAGTGTGTCTTTGTTTGTTAACGTTTTGTTTTGTCTTTCAAAGATTCCAAAGAGTAAAGTCTTCAGCAGAAACACACACACATGTATGAAATTTTATAAAAAACGTAAAAACCTCATCACGAAGCTTATGTCAAGATTACAATAGTTTCTGAAAGTGAACACAAAACGCTTCACCTTTCACCTTTCCACCTCAACCCTCAAATCTTCTCTCAAAAATATCAGAGAATCGTCTAATCCTTTTCTCTTTTCCCGAAGCGGTGTGATCTCAATGAAGCTTGCTTTCGATTATGTTTGTGTCAAACCGTTTGAGTGTTTTTTTTCTTACAATACTCACAAGAGGTATCGCAATTTAGTTTTTCTCGTGATGAGAGAAAACCGTGATTTTGCTTTGCTTCAGCAGAAATTAACTGAATGTACTCTTTGTGAGGACCTACTAATTGGAAAGCCACAATCCATCACGGCTTTGCCGGCCTAATGGCGACAAATCTTTTTGCAGATCACTTTGACCACCTTTTCATCTCATTACCGGACCTTACTGTGAAGATTTTTGTAGCGTGGTTTAAACTTTTGCTATTCCATTTTTGTGAGTAAACTTCGAATGCTTTCTCGGCATCGATTCTGTGACCTGACTAAAAGAAATCTAGGATTTCTTTTTTTGAACTAAAATCTTAACATTTTGCTGGCGGCACGGGGAGTACTTGATTGTAACGCGAGGTGCAATATGTAGAAATCGGCTTAGAGAAAATTATAAGAAAAGTTGTAAATAAATGTTGCCGCGTTTTTTTTCGCTCCTTGTCACCTCGGGTCTTCTGAGGGAGGAGGACGAGCCACGATACACCGGCCACTCCACTCCGCTTCGTTATCGCCCACCACTCCTCGTCCATATCAGCCGAATCGCAGATATATATGGTGAGTTTTTTTTTAAGTTTTGATCTAAATCCTTTTGCGTTTGTAAAGTTTTCTGAAGTCACTTGTAAGTGTTTTGTTGAATCCTTGCTGAAAGTGCATTGAGTACGGGAGTCTCAATTTGTGCATTTCTAACGCACGTGCATGAGATTTACGTAAACAATGAGAAAATCTCGATCAGGACGCTGCCCGACTCGGGGTGGTTTCATCTGGATGGATGTGTGGATGCCGTTCACAATTTTCTTCTCGCCAAACCATCGATTGTGTGGCCGTTTGTTCTTCCAGGTGAGCGATGGATTCAATGATGTACACGCGACAATTCTGAAGCATTTGAAATCGAGCAACCTGTTGGCGCTCTTTGGAAACTTCAGAAAGGCCTATTTTTGGCCTTTCTGAAGAACATCTGATAGTTTCTGGGCCTTAGTTTTTTTTGATTGATGCATACTAGGTTGGTGCAAATGAAATTTCGTTTTTTTACAAAGATTAAAGTCATCCAAAATTTTTTTTGATAACAATTTATTTAAAACAATAAGCACCATTATTATCTATGACATCCCTCCAACGTTGCTACAGATTGCGGATCCCCTTCTCAAAAGAACGCTTGATTCTGTGATGCAAAGTAGTTGGTCACCCAATTTTCGACTTCTTTTGCATTCTTAAACTGGCAATTCTCAAGGGAATGTTGCATCGATCTGAAAAGGTGAAAATCGGAGGGTGCTAAGTCTGGACTATACGGCGCATGTGGTAAGACCTTCCATCCTAGCTTCTCTAGTTCCTTACAAGAGGTTTTTGCCGTGTGAGCTGGAGCATTATCACGGAGAAAGTTGATAGTTGAGGGATTTAGGCCTTTTTCACGCAAAATTTCGTCAACCTTCTTGAGTTGTTGAATAAAATAAGATGAATCGACTGTTTTTCCGGGCTCTAATAATTCAAAATGAACAAGTCCATTGATATTCCACCAGCAAGACAACATCACTTTGCGCCCATGATAATCCGGCTTTGGAGTTGGAATTGGCGCTTGACCTTTGCTCAGCCATTGTCTTTTTCGAGAAGTATTATCAAAGTGAATCCACTTCTCATCCATCGTCAAGATATTCTCAAAAAAAATGGCTTCTTTTCGACTTCTGGAGCAAGATATGGCTGATCGGAACGCGTGCTCCCAGATTCTCAACACTCAATTGATGTGGAACCCATTGTCCATTACGATTTGTCTTCCAATTATTTCCAAATGGCGTACAATTGTTGAATTGGAGATGTTTGGCAAGTTCTCGTGTTGTTTGCATTGGATCAGCTTCAATTCATTGTTGTCGATGGCTGTGGCACGATGTCCATGCGATTCGTCTTCAAGGGATTCATTACCATCTCGGAATTGGGCAAACCAGAGCTGGCGTGATCTTTCGGTGATAACCTGTTCTCCAAAGGCGGAACAGAGATCACGATGTGAATCAGCAGCGTTTTTGCCCATTTTGAAGTCATAGAGAAGACACGTGAGCAGAACATACTTTTGATCCACCATGATCTAAAGCAAAAATCAATTAAAAAGTGAAAGCTCTGACTTTGAAAAAATGCGAAAATAAAGTAAATATCCAAGAGTACAAATGCACAAAAGAACATCAAATAAGCTCTTCAGATTAAAAAAATAAGAACATTTTATATCGACCGAAATTTCTTTTGCACCAACCTAATATCTAAGAACTAGCAATTTCCGTTGTCTTACCAATGTCGTACATAAGTTAAGAATTCTAATGAAAATTTTGAACATCTAATAAAACCAAACAAACTTTCAGCCGTCCTCCTTCCCAAGAAAAACCAAGGTGACAAGGAGTGAAGAAAACGCGGCAATCTCTCAGATCCCCAAACGATGTGTATCCCATTCCTTAACTTATTTTGGCTACCTTTTTATTTCACTTTTTATTGGCTATTTATCAAGCTTTATTTTTTGACCGAAATAAATGGCGACTGAAATTTTGATGAAAATCCGAATTACACGTTACACAAAAAAAGAAGGAACAATTGATAAAACAAAATTAAATCAATACAATAACTGAATCACAATAAAAGCACTAAAATTGAAAAAACCTAATAAAAACACCCAAAATTCCATTCACTCAAAAGCAGTCAAAATTTCCGATTGTGGTCCACGTAGAAGGCGAAAAAGGTGCACCATTCGCCTCTATACGACAAAAGCATGTAGACACAATCCCTGCTCGAGTCAATGTTTCGTCGAAAAAATAGATAGACCGTGAAGTCAAGCAAGTATCCGGCATGCTTTTTCCAGAGTTCGTTCGCCATTTTGAAGATTTCTTGATGATTTTCTCCGTAGAATCGTTTCATTCCAGGGAATTGCGAAAGAAAAAATTCGGGTATTCATCTCCTGAATATACAAGAAACTCAAATAAAAAACCGTCTTCAAATTCTTGCTTAGAATCGGTTTTTCAACGATTGATTGGACGACCTCTTCTAAGTTACCCCTGAATTCAGGCACTTCCAAGAGTTTGATCGAAGTCTTGGCAAAAACATCGTGGTAGAAGGAAAACTCATCTCGATAAGCAGAGGTAGAGATATCAAGCTTGACTTTTTCGCATTCATTCATCTGATTTGTAATGAATTTCTCCAAACTTTCCAAACAAAATTTTAATCAATCTCTAGATAACTTGGCTTATGATAAGAATGACCATGAAAAATTTCAACCCAGAGCCATCAAAACTCTTCATCATTTTAAGGAGTCTATGAGTACGAACTCTTTAATTCTAGAGCGAAGAACACAAAAGATGTGAAAAATCGTTTTCTAAACAACGCGGTCCAACGCGAGCTCAGTCACGACACACCGGTCACTCCACTCAACTCCACTACCGCCCAGCACTCTTCGCCCTTATCAGTCGAAACGCCGAAACGCAGCAGTTCGTGAGTTTGTTTTTGGTTTTTGATCCAAATGCTTTTGCTTTTGTAAAGCTTTCTAAAGTCCACTGTAGCAAATTACAAACTGCAACCTTACCCTTGGAATCAAAACAAAATGTGCCTGAGTCTTAAATTCGTTTTGTTTAGCATCAGGCAGTTCCATTATTTTGTCATTTTAGGCCTATCATGAATACCGACGGATTTGTGTTTTTACACGGCACCGATACACTCGCCTACACGAGCTCGGGGTAAGAGTTTAAAAGTTATACACTAGATCTAAATAAATACCCAAGGTATAAAACAATGAAACGACCTCATGTTAAACAAAATAAATTCTTAGTAAAACAATATAATATAAATAAAAAAACAAAACACTTACAAGGGACTTGAGAAAACTTTGCAAAAGCAAAAGCATCTAGACCAAAGCCCAAAAACAAACTCACGAGCTTCGGCGATTCGGCTGACATGGACGAGCGGTGGTGGGCGATCGTGGATTGGAGTGGCCGGTGTATCGTGGCGTTGTACGAAATTCGGGGGTGTCGATCTCTGCACCATCTCTGGAAGAAAAACCATCTTGTATATAGGTTGATAAGCGGTTTTCTTTTTAAAAAACAACGAAAAAAGGTTGAAATGAACTAGGCACCCACTAGCGAAGAGGTTGTAAAATGGATAACGGTTCTACAAATTTCGCGGATTTACCCTTAAATAAAAAATCTTAGCTGAATATCTTTTTTTTGCTGAAGATTTGCCATAAGTATAAAGATAAAAGGAAAGAATTGCCAATGGGTATAAAAAGAAAGAAAAGATTTGCTATTGGATAAAAACCGAACACACCGTGATTTTGTATTTTCTTTTCTTACTTTCAAGACGAAACTCCAATCTTTTTTTTAACCGGTTTTGGTAGTTCGGAGTAGACTTGACTATCGAGATCTCGATAAATTCTGGAGTTATTAAAAGAGGCTGTTATTGACGCGAAAGTTATTACGGAGGCTGATCATTGAGTGGGTATTTTAAAGAGATTAAAGGCTTAAAGATTTAAAACTAATTAATTTTAGAGATGTATCGAGAATCTCCGAGTTCAATGCCCCGCTTTCTGGTGGTGCTCGTTTTATCTCGACAATCAATAATTGATTCAATTTCAATAATCAACAATTTTACAAAACTAACGTTATGCTTTTCAGAAAGTAGAGGAAATTTGACTAGGAGGCTGACCAAAATGAAAAGCGGTTGTCCATCTAGTTTTCGAGATTTTTGCGATCAAAAATTGAAAAACCTCAAAAAAGTGGAAATGCATGAAAATGGCCAATTCCAAACGCGAAAGACTGAAAAGACCGTTAGACTGAAAGCCGGGAAATCCTGGGTATGCCACTGAGTGAAGGGATGTCCCTTTGGGACAACTCGCTTCACTACGGGCTTCGGAGAGTTCATAGGTTTCAATAAAAGGTATCAATAAACCCCACACCCTTTTCATTCGACTCGTCTTTTTTTCCTTGCATAGCTCAGTTAATTCTTTTTTTTTTCATAGCTCAGTTGATCATTTGGCTTATTCATGTTCCTTTATGCTTTTTTACTTTCATCTTACCCATTCCTCCGTTTTTGCTATCCTATTTTTGCTTGTTCCTTATTCGTGTAAAATTTGAAAATCACTACAAAAAAAGTGTTTTTAAAAAGAAAAAAAATAGAGAAAAAGAGGTAGTTTAATTTAAAAAAGAGGTAAAAGGCACACAGAAAAGCAAAGATTGTTTTTTAAAAAAAATTCTAAAAGGGATTACAAATAGAAATGGAAGTGTAAAAGTATAAATTAGAAAGGTAAGAAAATTTTGATAGGTTATAAAAATAAATTTTAAAAAAGCAATGATAAAATGGATAAAATATTATATTATTAGCTTTTTATTAAGGCAGTCCAGTGACCGGGGGCGTGGTAGGGGTTGTTGGGGTTGTTGTGGTTGTTTGGGTGGTGGTGGTGCTCGATGACTGAGTCGTGGCCGGCTTTCGAGTGGTCGTCGAGCCAAGAAATTCTAAAATTAAAGTATTAATAAAGTATCTAAAGGCATGAGAATCGATTCTGGTTCGAAATAGATGAAAACTACTCGTTATTCTGCATTTTGGTGCCTTGTAGTCATCAGCTCTAGTCACATTGCCACACAACCATTTGCCGGCCGCTTTGTTCAGCCACTGAAAAGCATTAATTGGCTTGTTTGTGTAACATTTAGAGTTTGTTTTTTTGTTTCTAAAAAATCTACTATTCTTAAAAAATGGACTGGAAGTTAAAAATAATATTTATCATAGAAAATCACCTTCGAATAGCCGGAAGCACACGAAGCCGTGCCGAAGCCGCAGAGACTCACCGGGCACGGGACCACACGCGATGTGGAACCACTGAAAACATTATTAAGTTCTGAAAAAGTTATGCTAAATGTTACAGGAATCTAAAAGGTTTAATTCTCTTTTTTAACTCACAGACACAGGCATCCGAATTTCGCCGACGTGCAATTCCTCTTCTGCGTCTTTTCACCGTGTAAACCACAAGTTTTTGAACACCTCGACGCATCGCGCCAAACAGACCAAATCCCTATAAGCAAGGGGGGATTGAGGAAAAAAGTATATCTTTGCTTTTCAAAAGAACAAATGGTATGCTAGATAAGCTCCGTTTGAATGCAAGCACAAAGTCGCAGTGACAGATCTTTATTCGTTAAAAGTTGAAAGTCAAACCTCCAGTTGGGCATTTTGTGCACACCGGCAGGATAGCGATGGCTGTTGTTGCTGAAAAAAAATTATATTTTTAGATATTTATTTTGTAATAGTACGATTATATGCCTAAATTTGGAAAAATACCTGAAAATGCGAGGAGAAACGCGAAAAAGAGGGTCATTTTCTAATGTTCAAATGTCTAAAATGTTCAAATTTATTCGAATTTTATTCAACGCCCTAAACAACGATAAAAACGGGTAGAAATTCGTTGTGACAAGAAAAAAATTCAATGTGCAAGATCTAGTGCAAGATTTGGCCCTCCACATTTGGCCCTCCACTACTCGATGATAACAAAAAAAAATAGTGTTAAAGAAAACAAAAACACTATAGTGTGCTTCTTTCAAATAAAGCATTTTCTAAAAAGTGTCAAATTTTGAAAATTACTGTAATTCTGTCTCAACTTTTGCCTGATTTTGTGAGGCTTCAAAAAGAATTCCAAAAAGATAGATTATATAAAAGCTAGAGGCAAGATTACGGTATCCATCGCCAGGGTTAGGCCAGTAGACAAGTCCTGCCTTGGTTTCTGGACTGGTTTAACCCTGGGGTAGCCATTGTGCAAGATCTAGGGCAAGATTACGGTAGCTTTCAATAGTTGCCATGTTTTGGAAAACCTAATAAATAGAAAATGTTCTAATGGTAATTTTCAGAAACAATTTAGAACCTATACATGAGCGGGGTGTCAGCCTATCATCAAAACGATTGGTGGAGTTGCATTGATCGATTGGAGAGATCATTCGAAAAGGTTAGTAAAAGAAAAAAAAATTTTTCGACCTATTTCTATTCATTCTAATCCCTCTTTTTAAAAAAAACCTTTTCCTTTTTTGCATAATTCCCTATGAATTTCTTTCAGGTATTACGGGAAGCGGAATTGTGTCGAATGGATTGTAAAGATAAAATTTATACAGAAATCAATCATAGAAATGTAAAAAAAAAACTTATAAATGGTTGATTTTTGAGTATTGGAATCAATTGGATCAATTGGAATAAGGGAAAAAGAATAAAAAATGCTGGAAAAGTGTAGTCGGCCTAACACTTTTGCAAGTATCAAAATATTTCTTGAAAAGACCAGTCAAAGAGAAAAAGAACCAAATGCAGTCGACTCTCGATAAAACAATAAAACAAAACTCGATAAAACATTCAATGTATTTTTGGGATTACGTAGCTAAAAGAGAATATAGAATCGAATTTGAGTGAAGTTTCGGAGATTATCTAGTCTAGCCGTATGCAATTGGTCAAGCAACTCTTTGAAAGTCACCAATACTTTATTGGAAACACCCAGTTCTTATGCATTATGAAATGGAGAGTAAACGATGTGCGATTTCCATTGAAACTTTCCAATGTTGGTTGGCTCGAACTGAGCAATAAGCGCCGAGCTGAAAAATTTGGTACGAAATTTTTCGCCAAAGGCCTATGGCATCCGGGGAATATAATGGTGAAAAAGTGATTTCTATAGGTTTTTCAAACAAAATAAAGCAAAAAGTTTTGTTTGCATATATCTTGAGAATGTTTTTATGCAAAAATTATAGAGATTGAACAAGTCTGCACAAACTAGTAGCGTTTTGGACGAGCTCAACTCAGTTTTTCTAAGTTGACACACTGTGAACTTTCTATCGTAACCGAACAACAATTGCACATGAAAAGTGAGGAATTCAGTGCGCTAGATGATCGATTTTTGCGTGTGAGCACACCAGATCATCATTTCCTTTTGTTCTGGCGTCATTTCTCCCGCCGCTTTTCATTTTTTTACTCTCACTTGCCGTTTATAATTCGTTTTTGTGTTTTAAATTTATTCAAATCTCACTTATTCACAGATAAAGAGTTTATACATGATAAAAATTGAGATTTTGATGGAAAAAAATGCATTAGAAGTGAACAAAATTGGTACAATGCAATTCGAGGGAGAATTTCCGAGAAACTCTCCGCGAAATACCCAACCAAATTCTACGGTTTCCTGCTCAGAAGGGACTTTTTTTGTGCACATTGTATCGACGGATTGCGTGATCAACGAACGTTACAAATCTGGGGTGCATTTGATGGAAAAGTCCAATCTGAAAAATACAATTGATTTGTACATTTGTTCCTTTTCATTCGAAATGAAACATTTCACTTTCAGTTATGTGATTTTTCAAAGTGTCTGCGAAAGAGGCGACGAGATGCGCCGACAAACAAACGAGGAACAATCAAAAAAAGGACTTAAAATGATTCATAGTAGTCACCATCCCAGGTGAACTTGGTTCTTCCTCAAATTGTGGCTACAAAATGCTCTTTTCGTTCTCCATTAATTCCTAGATTGAAAAAACCAGATTCTTTGCTTTTGTTTTCCTATTTTAGTGTGCTTCTTAGTGATAATTTGTTTTCTAATTTAAATGTTGAATGCATTTTTTTTCTTGATGACCTCATTTGTACAATAGATGTTTCTGCATACAATAGAAAAAACACCAGTGAATCGCACCAAATCACATTGTAGCCAATAAAATGCTCTAAGCGTTGTAGTATTGCAATCTACGGTTAGTTTATTTATTCTAAAATTTACATTTAAAAATGCTAAAAAAATACAGCTTTAAAATACCAAAAAAATAACTCTTTTAGTAACGGTATTCACCACGAGATATGACATCATAACAGTATTTAAAGAGAGTACACGTACAAATAAAAGTGAAGGAATATGGAAGAGAAAACGGAAACGTTTAACTTTTAAAACTATATGTGGCTTCTGCTAAACCATTATATTAATACATCAATGACTTTAGATGTGTGATCCGATCAGCTTCATCCACGAATCCTCCACCGATCCGATCCATTCATCCTCCGGATCCTCAACGTTTCCTTCAGTGTTTTGATTATCGTATTTGATCAAATAACAAGAATCGTGTTTCATCAAGATTAGCAACTGTTCTTCTCATCAAATGGTGAACTGAGCAGAGGTCCGCTTGCCGTCTCATCACCAAACTTTGTTAAAATGGTCTTTTTGTCCTCAATTCTCAGGCGTTCACTGCCGCGTCGAATCGGTGCCAACCCGAGAGTCGTAAATGTAAATGACTGAAAAGTCGTAAATGATCTCCGGCTTTCAAATTCAACCTCTTCCCTCCACGAACCGTCAACGTATTGTTTTCCTCGATTTTTCCCCAGTATTCCAAGGTGAATGCAGGATTTCGATCGATCCTGCTACGGAGACCATGGATAGTTTTTTGGGCGTCACGTGAAAATGATCCAGTCTTTTGAGGGAGCGATTCGAATCGAGAAATTACCCGAATCATCCCTCCTCAAATTTCATACTGATCTCCACCTTCGATTGATCAAACGAATCCACTCCTGTGACAGCTTGTGGATATTCTTAGGTTGGAATTCTGAATTCAGCAACGATCACGCGACGATTCTGAATCAATTGACCTCTAGAAAGTTTTGGCGCTCAATGTAACCATTGTTGCCCCTCCGAACAATCGCGCTATGCCTTCTTCACGAATGCTTCTTACGGCTCCATCTAATGTGTGTTTGTGATTTTTTCTTTCAGCAGGAGGCAACTTGACATCATTTTGCAATCGAACGTTGACAAGATCGCCCGGAGTCCCCACTAGTTCGCCAAGCGCTCCAGAAATACCAGCCAAGAAGGCTTTTTCTAGAAAAGGTAGGCTTTTACCTGATATATATTGCCTTTTCAAGCTATCATAAGCCGCAAATCTTGTCGTTGAATAGGTTAGTTGTCGCAGCAACGATGCTGAGAGGTCATTGTAGTATGTGAGTAATCCATTCGATTGGATATCTACTATTCTCAGGATATGAATACCCGAATCGTCTATTTTATTTCGCAATCCCTCTGGAATGGAGCGATTTGACGGAGAAAATCAGCAAGAAGTCATTAATATGGCAAACGAACTCTTGAAAAAGACGCTTACTTGCATCCGCTGACCGAAATCGGCAATCTGCCTACCCGATGATCGACATTCTAAAAGATTCACATGATACAATTTCCGCAAACAACCAACTCTCGGATGAAATGGACAACGAGAAACCGACATCTTCTTGTTGGCATCTGCCATTGTGGCGGTAGGGGTGAGGGTTGCATTAGAGGAGGCTGAAATTTAAGGTGCAACTTAATCCAGATTGAACAACACCCCGCGATAATTTCCGCTTTATCCAATTGGATAGCCACAAAATGCAAACTGCGGAGAAAGCCCGACTTGCATTGCTCGAAAAGACCCCTAAAACAAGGTGAGAAGGAGTGAAGAAAACGCGACAATCTCTCAGATCCCCAATCGATGTGTATCCCATTTCTTAATTAATTTTCGCTACTTTTTTTATTTCACTTTTTTTATTTATCAAGCTATTTATCAAGCTTTATTTTTTGATCGAAATAAAGATGAGAAAAGAAATAAAGAAAAGATGATTGAAATTTTGATGAAAATCCTAATTACACGTTACAGAAAAAGAAGGAACAATTGATGAAACAAAATTAAATAAATACAATAACTGAATCACAATAAAAAAGCACTAAAATTGCAAAACCTAATAAAAAACACTCAAAATTCCATCATTACCGATTGTGGTTCAATGTAGAAGGCGAAAAAGGTACACCATTCGCCTCTGTACGACAAAAGCATGTAGACACAACTCTGCTCGAGTCAATGTTTCGTCGAAAAATTGATACTCTGTGAAGTCAAGCAAGTATCCGACATGCTTTTTCCAGAGTTCGTTCGCCATTTTGAAGATTTCTTGATTATTTTCTCCGTAAAATCGTTTCACTCCAGGGAATTGCGAAAGAAAATCGAGGATTCGGGTATTCATCTTCTGAAGAAACAAGAAATCCACATAAAAACCGCCTTCAAATTCTTGCTTAGGATCGGTTTTTCAACGATTGATTGGACGACCTCTTCTAAGTTACCCCTGAATTCAGGCACTTCCAAGAGTTTGATCGAAGTCTTGGCAAAAACATCGTGGTAGAAGGAAAACTCATCTCGATAAGCAGAGGTAGAGATATTAAACTCGACTTTTCGCATTCATTCATCTGATTTGCAATGAATTTCTCAAAACTTTCCTTGATCACTTGGTTTTCGTTTAACAAATCAATGTTCACGTCAATCCACGCGGATTCCTCAATCCTCGAGCGGCAATTCTCAAGAAATTGCAGCAATAACTCAGTATGACTTGGGCTTCTGTTTCTCCTTATAGAGAGATGCAAATCTTTCACAGAGGTCAATTGATTCAGAATCGTCGCGTGATCGTTGCTGAATTCAAAACATAAGAATATCCACAAGCTGTCACATGAGTGGATTCGTTTGATCAAAGGAAGGTAGAGACCACTATGAAATTTGACCAGGGATGATTCGGGGAATTTCTGGATTAGAATCTTTCCCTCATAAAAATCGATCATTTTCACGTGACGCCCAAAAACTATCCAGGGTGTCCGTAGCAGGATCGATCGAAATCCTCCATTCACCTTCGCCAATTCAATCGCATCATTCGGCTCCATTTGCTCCAAAACCTCCAGCTTTAGGTCGTAGCATAGCTTCTCTATTGGGAATGACGTCAGCTTTAGCATTTCAAACCGCATTTTGCTTGTCGTCCTTATACCTGTAAATAGATCAATTAGAATTCGCAAAAAACAAGTAGACAACTAGAATTCAAAGCCATTAAAAAGACAAAATTTTATTCAATCTCTAGATAACTCCGATTATGATAAGAATGACCATAAAAAATTTCAACCCGGAGCCACCGAAACACTTAAAATCATTTTAAGGAGTCTATGAATACGAGTTGTTTAATTTTTCGAGCGAAGAACATCAAAGATGCGAAAAATCGTTTTCTCAGCTCAGTCACCCCACACCGGCCACTCCACTCAACTCCACTATCGCCCAGCACTCTTCGCCGATATCAGTCGAAACGCCGGAACGCAGTAGTTCGTGAGTTTGTTTCTTGGTTCTGATCCAAATGCTTTTGTTTTTGTAAAGCTTTCTAAAGTCCACTGTAGCAAATTACAAACTGCAACCTTACCCTTGGAATCAAAACAAAATGCGCCTAAGCCTTAAATTCGTTTTGTTTAGCATCAGGCAGTTCCATTATTTTGTCACTTTAGGCCTATCATGAATACCGACTGGATTTGTGTTTACACGGCACCGATACACTCGCCTACATGTTAAACAAATTACAAAATAAAACAACAAAACCCTTACAAGTGACTTGAGAAGACTTTGCAAAAGCAAAAGCATCTAGATCAAAACCCATAAACAAACTCACCATATATCTACGATTCGGCTGATATGGACGAGGAGTGGTGGGCGATGGTGGAGTGGAGTGGCCGGGTGTATCGTGGCGTGCTGCAAGAAATTCGGGGGTGTCGATCTGCACCAGCTCTGGAAGAAAAGCCATCTTGTATATACGTTGATAAGCGGCCTTCTTTTTTAAATAGCAACACAAAAAAAAGTTAAAATAAACTAGGCACCCACTAGGGAAGACCTTGTAAAATGAATAACGGTTCTACAAATTTCTTGCGCATTTACCCCCTAAATAAAAAAATACTTAGCTGAATATCTTTTTTTTGCAGAAGATTTGCCATAGGTTTAAAGATAAAAGGAAAGAATTGCCAATGGGGTATAAAAAAGAAAGAAAAGATTTGCTATTGGGTAAAAACTGAACATACCGCGATCGGGCGCACTTGAGGTTCTTCGATTCAATTTCTTCGATGCTGAAGAATTTCGTGCACCAGTAAGGGTGCGGTTTACAAGAAAGCCCAAAGTACACAGATGAAGAGTACTGTAGAAGCTTAAGGTTCAGAACCAACTACAGATTATAATTATTATTATAGCTACCGTAAACTACGCTTCATTTACAATACCACTGTGCTAGAGTACTGTAAATGAAGGCTAGAGTATTCTAGAAATTCAGTTTAATCTTCAGAAATAAATACAGATTATAAATATTCCTATAGCTACCGTATACTACGCTTCATCTACAGTACTACTAAAGCCTGGATTACTGTAGAAATGCTATTAAGCGGGCCAAAAGGGATTCAAGTTGTCTTTCCGAAATTGGCGACGGATGACGAATAATACATGTGACACTTTATTTACAAAAACAAATTGAAGTTCAGCATAAAGCAAAAAAGCAAATGACAAAACTACTAAAAATGCCCTAAAAACTGGGTGCAAAAGGTCCGCTCGTCCTCGTCCAGTCAACCATGAATGCTCGCCAGTATATGGAAATACTAGAAGGATGTCTACTTCCATTTGCTCAGGATCACATGGCTCCTGAATGGTTTCCCTACCAGGACAATTCCGGTTGTCCACAAGAGCAAGCTCCATGATGGGTCGCACGGTGAATCTCTCAAATGGAGGAAAAGCTCATCTCCCTGGATGGTTTAGCCCCTTAATAATGTTTTTTGTTGGTCAAGGTGCCCCCTATGTCGTCTGATTTAAACGTTATTGAGAATTTATGGGCTTACGAAGGCAAAGTTACGAAGAAAGACTTTCACACAAAAGCTGAACTTATGGTTCTACATACGAAAAGTTTGGAGCTCAATTCGCCCAGCAATTCTTCACGAATTAGTCGACTCAATGCCTAAACGATTAAATGAAGTGATTTTGGCAAAGGTGGACCGGTTGAATATTAATTTTTGATGTTTCTGCATAATGTTGCAAGACTTTTGCACCCAGTTTTTAGGGCATTTTTAGTAGTTTTGTCATTTACTTTTTTGCTTTACGCTGAACTTCAATTTGTTTTTGTAAATAAAGTGTACATGTATTATTCTAATTAAAAACAAAAAACCCTACGAACGGGTGGCATTTTCTATAAAAAAATTTCATCGATTTTTTTGAAAAAGTGGGGATGTTGCAAGACTCTTTGCTCGGTACTGTATCTATTCTTTCAGGTATTACGGAAACAAGTATGAAAGTTCTCCCAAAGTAGAGTTTCCGACAAAAACAAAAATATTTAATCTAATTTTCTTCATTTTAGCAAACATCTTTGGTTTTCTAAAGCGTGGATCTGAAAGAAATTTCACAGCTTAAAACGAACGCTGCTTGCTAAGATGCACCAAGTATTGTTAGCACAAATTAGTGTTTTTAATGAAGCAAGAATTGGGAGCTTTTTATCATGAACTTTGCTAAAAAAATTATGTAAACCCTCTTTTAATCTTATTTCCATGTTCAGTGCAAAAATCCATTAAACTTTTATTTTTAGACAATGAAGCTGGAAATCAAAGAGGAACCGCCTGAGCTGTACAATAAAACCCACGATGACGCGAAAGAGGAAGCTTCCCGGCTATTAAACAGGTAGATTTTTATCTGTTTTTATGATAAAACATCTTTTATCATAGAGTATAGCGTGAAAATATGTGAAAACTTGTAAGCCTTTAAAGTCCTGTAACATTCGTAAGTTCTTTGTTTAGGGAGACGAAACGACGAGAGGATTCTGCGCTAGTGAAAGAAGAGGATGAGCGAAACATTTTGACGGCGCTTGCAGAAGTGACAAAATCGTTGCAAAAATGGGAATCGACCGTTGTAAGTTGTTGAGCCTTGTTTTCGTTGACGAAATGACCCTCGATGATTTGTTTCTCATCCATTTTAATCGATTAGAGATAAACAAGCTATGCTTTTTCATACTTTTCACTTAGACTTGCTTTTCAGGCTATTGACATAACTGCGCGAGTTCTTGTCGGAGCATTTTTTGACGAATCTCGACACGTCGATGATTGATCCACTCTTGAATACCCTCCTCAATGTAAGAATTTTATTCTAGTTCCTTTTAAAGTTTTGAACACTTCAATGAAAGGCTGCTAAAATCTCGACGTTCGATGATATGACACTCTTTGCTGCTGAAATCGCTTCATCAAATCGTTCAACGATGTAGTCGAATCCGCCACAATCTGCTCGCTGACACAGCTTTCAACGAGAAAGAGTGCGGAGGATTTTCTAGATATTTTATAGACTTTTATTTAGCCTCTTCACAAAATCGAAACTGGATTCAATTTTGCTGAACATCTGCGCGGTTGCTATAAGAAAGCGGTTTCTAAAAGTAAGTTGAGGTATTTTAGGAATTGCTCAAG